TGCATCTGCACAAACCAAAGGGCCGAGGAGGCCTTCATTTCCTTGCTGTGCTGACTTGCTAGATAAATTCACAAGGGTTCTTCATCTCACTGTTATGTGAACAATGCCCTGATTTTATTATCTACCTTTGTGCTTAATTGGGGAGGAAAGAACAATATTGCTGCTCTAACAAACTACACAACTGAATATTTCTCTATATATTATTGCTGTAGTATGATTTAGGTATAGGAAGCAAATGAAAAATGTGTGTCCTATGGAAAAAAGTTACTTCTTTTGTTGTTTCAAGAAGCAAAACAGAGCTATTAAGTTGGTTGTAGATAATGATTGGACATCAGGAGACAACTCAGTTACCATAATTCCTGGATATGTAAAGCCACAGACCTTTTTTTTTTTCTTATCGCTGTCAGCGTCTGAGATTTATTTTAGCTATTACTTTTAGGCTCGGTTCACTCTGCCCCGACTTGGGATCTGACTTGTGAGACCCCAAGTCTCATGACATGTGAAATCCCAGGTTAGTCAATGAGAGCTGTCTTAATTAGCTCTACTGAAGTCTCTCCAACTTTGGGAAAGGTTTCGGTACTATTTCAAGGCAACTTCTATCTGACTTGTGCCCATATTCTTTAATAGAAGTCGCCTCCAAGTCAGATCCTCATCTATATTGATGTGATTTGTCCGATATTACAGGAAGATTACCCAGGCATTCCCTGAAAGTTGCTTCAGAGTTCAAAGTAGTACTCAAGTTGCCTGGTAAAGTCACACTGCAAGTTGTGCATCTTTCAGGCAGCAGTAGTGTGAACCAAGACTTAGAATGGTGAGTGAACGTCAGTAAAAATCTGCCAGAACATGAATAGAGAAGATATCCATTTATTTTCTAAATGGAACATTTGCTTCAGTGACAGCTACCTAAGAGGGCATTCCCTTCACTCACTTCCTGTTGTATCTAAAGGACTGGAAGTAAAGGAAGTCTTCCCAGTGGGCCACACATTGCAAGAAATAAAACTGTCAGGGGTTTTTGGCTACACTGACATCTATGTGGTGCATTCACATGCATTAATCTGTGTTGTGTTAGGGCAGCCTATTCATTTAAATGAGCTACCTAGTGTACTAAAATGCACTAAAAAAGAAGCCTGCACTGAAAGTCAGTGCACTACAATAGTACAATGGTAACAAACTTGCATTGGCAAAGTGTGTTTATTAAAGAAGAATTCCAGGCAAACCTAACTACTCCTAAAAATGCTCCCTCCCTCCTCATAACACCTATTGTGACTAACCTGTATAAGAAAGATCTGTATATTTACCGTATTTTTCGCTCCATAAGACGCACCTGACCATAAGACGCACCTAGGTTTTAGAGGCAGAAAACAGGAAAAAAAAATTCTGAACTAATGGACTGCAGACATAGTACAGGGATGACCAGAGACTGCGGACAGCACAGGGATGACCAGAGACTGCGGACAGCACAGGGATGACCAGAGACTGCGGACAGCACAGGGATGACCAGAGACTGCGGACAGCACAGGGATGACCAGAGACTGCGGACAGTACAGATGACTGCTGACCTTTGGGGAGGGGGGGGAGCGGGTACCTGAATTTGACAGGTACCCGCTCTTACTTCCTCAGAGTTGTTCTTTATCTTACCTGTTCCTCGATCCAGCCGCGCGCTGTCTTCCCGGCTTCTGTAATGGCGCTCGGCATGACAGCCGGGTGCCCAGTGCGCATGAGCGAGAAGCACTTGCGCTTTGTGATTGGTCCGGCGGCTTCTGGGATCGGTCATGTGTCCCAGGTACCGCCTTACCATTCACAAAAAGCACCGCTTCTTGTGGATGCGCACTTGGCACCCGGCTGTCATGCTCAGTGCCCACACTACAGAAGCCGGGAAGACAGCACTCCGCTGGATAGAGGAACAGGTAAGATAAAGAACAAATAAGTAAGAGCGGGTACCTGTCCAATTCAGGTACCCGCTCCCCACCTCCCCAAAGGTCAGCAGTCCTCTCCATAAGGTCCCGCTGCAGAGCTGAGCGGCCGGCCCGGTATTCTGCACGGTGGTGGTGGAAATACCGGACCGGTCGCTCTATATTCGCTCCATAAGACGCACTGACATTTTCCCCCCTTTTTTGGGGGAAAAAAAGTGCGTCTTATGGAGCGAAAAATACGGTACCTATTTTCAGCCCTTTCCAGTCCGGTCACATAATCTTCCCTGTGTGGCTGGCTGAAGGGGAGAAGAGAGAGCACTTGGCAATGGCTGGTAATGTCTGCTAGCAGTTACATCACCCATAGGCTCCTGTGGTAAATCTGTTGTATGCACTCCCTTGTCTTCCCCTTCAGCGGCCACTGGTGGACAAAGGTGAGTGGGATCAAGTGACCAGACAGGAGCAGCCTGAAAATATGTAAGTATACAGATCTTTCTAAAACAGGTTAATCAGTGATATTGAGGAGTAGTTACTTTAACCCCCTGACGCCGAAGTCACACAAATATGCTGCCTCACAGACCTGGTCTTTTTTCCATGGGGCCGCATATTTGCGTACTTGTCTTTGTGCTGGGAGCATGCCGCACAGTGCGCTCCCAGCATAAAAACCAGGGTGTCACTGACAGCCCCAGGTCCCGTTCTAACGATCGTGACCTGAGACTCACAATTCTGGGTCACATGATAGCTGTGATAGCCTCTGTTTGGCTATCATAGTGATCAGTCACTGTGAGGCCCGTCCCCCTTGTTTTTGTTTTTAGTGTTTGGGTCAAGGTCAAAGGTCAGGATTCTTTTTAATTGGTATCAGTGTCAGTGTGTCTTAGGTAATAAAAGAAAACAACAAAATGCGCACTATTGTTTCTGGGCTGTACTACGGTTACAAACAACAAATAACATACACATATATGGTATCTTTGCGATCATCAAGAGCTGGAAAATTTATTTTGGGTTGTTTTTTGGTGGTAGGTATTAGTAGTAACAAGAAACATGCAGCTAAATTAAAAAAAAAAAGAATTTTGTTTACTATTTTGGGTCCAATGTTTTCCTTTGATATTAAAATAAAAATCAAGAGATATCAATTATGATTTACCATCAAATGAAAGCCCAATTTGTCCTGAAAAAAACAAGGTATAATTCATCTGGATGTACAAAGAAGTTGTGATTATATGTACGGTTTTACTAACACATGTTCAACGTTGTAAAATTGTGCTTAGGCTTTAGGTTTTACTCTTAAGCATGAAGGGGTTAAGAATGAATGGCGCCCCACATCTGCAGTACACAGGTGTTATTCCCACCTTAACTGTTCCCACCTCTATCCAAAAGGATGATTTGAAGTAGTACATTTGAGCTGCAGAGATAAATTGGTGGGCAGGAAGAAACCATGGGATTGTTCACCCCATTAACACCCATCATACCATAAGAACATAAATAATAAAAATAAACACAAGGATTGTGGTAAAGTTTAGGCCGTGGCCCCTTTATTGGGTTTAAATCAATTTTAACCACTGCCCGCCGGCGCCTCCCGGCCCCTTAAAGAGTTTCAGAAGCCGGGAGGCGGGACAGGCGGGGTTTAGGGATGATGTGACCGCCGTGATGCGTTATCACGGCGGTCACATGATCGGGGAAAGGTCCTGATCGAAAGATCAGACCGGGACCTTTCAATGAGTACCGGACATTGGTGTGCGCTCTCAGAACATATGTTTTTTGTTAATTGCACGCAAATGTGCGGCCGCTCGGCGTCTAGGCCCAGACGCCAGGAGGCCGCACAGTTGTGTGCTGCTGGCGTGAAGAGGTTAATTATGAAATGAACTTTAACCTTTATTACCAAACAGAACCACTGTTAACCATTAACTGACCAACATGCTTAGTCACTAAGACTCCAGCAGCAATATCTTATACCATCCAAATAACAATTTCCCAACCACTGTCCACCCACAAAGTGGGCGACATTACCTCATAAAGATGGACCTTCAATATCAAACAGAACTGTTGTTAACCAATAACAGACCAACATGCTTAGTCACCAAGAGTCAAGCAGCAATATCGTATACCAAACAAATAACAGCGTACCAACCACTGCTGTCCATCCACAAAGTGAGTAACATTACCCCACATAAAGGTGGAACACAACAAGGGAAAATTTAAGAAAGAGGAGGGGCAGGGAGAGAGCAGGTCAAAAGATCCAGAAGGAAAGCTGAGGAGAATCCAGAGGTGAGTCCAGCTGACAGACCTGAGGTAAATGCTGACTCCGCCCAGTGACAGAGAGGATAGAAGTGAATGGTTACACTCCTTGGCTAGATGTTTTCCGCTTAAAGATTTGTCACCAATCCAGTGTTCAGCAGCTGAGGTAAATCCTCCTAGCAACAGCAGGCAGCTTGTTAACTGAAACAAAAAACAGATAGAACCATTAAAGCAGCCATAGAGAGACATGGAATGAACAATCATCATAGCCCTCTATTAAGAATGAAATTTATATAAAAAACAAATAGGTGATATGGGTGACAATCCCATGGGGCCCTGACACTTTCCTCCCTCTTTGACACATAGGGAATGGTAAAAAGCAGGTCTACTTTAACCACTTTTCAACCACAGATAGCTTCCCGGCGGCTGGCCAGTTTTGGGAGGGCGTCATATGAGATCCTCCCAGAACACGCCCTTCCGAGTGCCCCCGGGTGTATGCTCCCGGCGATCTCTTATGGACACAGCTGATTACGTGATGTGGTAAAAGGCCAATCACAGTGGCCTTTTACCACGTGATCAGCCTTGTCCAGTGACACAGCAGATCACCGGTAAAGATCACCGATAAATGCAGTTGCCGGTTATTGGCTGTACTTTCATCATCCTGTCACAACATGAGGACAGTTCTGCCGATAACTGGCAATTGTCAGAGGACTGATCGGCACCGATCATCAGGGCACTGATGATCAGGGCACTGATGATCAGTGACCAGCAGTGCCACCCACCAGTGTTGCCCACCTGTGCCCAGCAGTGCTGCCCACAAGTGCTCAGCAGTGCCACCCACCTGTGCTCATCAGTGCCCAGCAGGGCCACCCACCTGTACCCATCAGTGTCTAGTACTGCCACCCACCTGTGCCCATCAGTGCCTAGTAGTGCCACCCACCTGTGCCCATCAGTGCCTAGTGCCACCCACCTGTGCCCATCAGTGCCTAGTAGTGCCACCCACCTGTGCCCATCAGTGCCTAGTAGTGCCACCCACCTGTGCCCATCAGTGCCTAGTAGTGCCACCCACCAGTGCCACCCATCAGTGTGCACCCAGTGCCACCCATCAGTGCTAATCAGCATTGCCACCCATCAGTGCCCAGAAGTGCCGCCAGTTAGTGCCATCAGTCAGTGCCACCCATCAGTGCCGCATATCAGTGCACATCATTGTTACATATCAGTGCAGCAGCATCAGTGCCGCCTCATCAGTGCCAACTCATCAGTGCCCCCTATCAGTGCTGCCTATCTGTGCCACCTCATCAGTGCCCATCAGTGCTACCTATCAGTGCTCATCAGTGCTGCCTATCAGTGCCCATCAGTGTCCATCAGTGCTGCCTATCAGTGCAGCCTCATCAACACACATCATCAGAAGGAAAACAAAATTACATGTTTGCAAAATTTTAAAATAGAAACAAAGAAAAAAACTTTTTTTTTTCCAAATTTTCACTATTTTTTTGTTTATAGCACAAAAAATAAAACACCCAGCGGCAAATTCATACCACCAAAAGAAAGCTCTATTTATGTGAACAAAATGCTAAATATTTCATATGGGTACAGTGTTGCATGACCGCGCAATTGTAATTCAAAGTGTGATAGTGCTGAAAGCTGAAAATTGGCCTGGACAGGAAGGGGGTATAAGTACTCGGTAAGCAAGTGGTTAAATTAGTAAAAACTGGCCTGGACTGGTGATGTGCAAATTATGGCATTCACCAGAAGGGCTTTTACCTTATGAACTGGTAACAGCCAATGTAGGCCGCTCATGCACATTTGGTTAGGTTTTGAAAAATACAGCAAAGTTTAGTGTTGACTAAACACAGGCATAAGTGAGTGAATAAACACCATTGCCTTACAAAGCTGGGAAAACTGGTTACATGTACACAGGTGGCATAGAGTGCTAACTATACCTGAGTTGTTTTTTCCTGCCAGTCTGACCATTGGAACAGTTCCTCTAAGTTGTGTTTCATTTTCTTTGTAAACTATGTAAAACAAATCTAAAATCTCTTTTAAATGCATGTTTTTTCTTATGCAGTCCTAGCAAATAAAGCAAATTTTAGTATGTTCGAGTGGCACGGTACTTGCTGCTGTTTTCTTCTGACAAAACAAAATACGATTGCCCTATTTAAGCTAGAATTCCCTTGTTTATACTATAGAAGAAGAAATTGCAGGGAGCAGATTCTTGGAGAAAATCTGTGTAAACACTTTAGTAGCATGTGGCCATTTTCTCATTCTTTACAGCTGCAATTCAAGAAATGCTTTTTTGGCACAGAGAGAAATAAAACAAAACATGGCAAAAGTATTTCAAGATGGTACTATTGTTGTGATTACAGCATTGCTATGAAGGCTACAGTGACAGCAACAAAACAACAAACACAGTGGCTAAATGGTTAGCACTTCCACCTGGCAGTACTAGGGTCGTTGGTTTGAATCCCAACCATGGCACCACCTGCCTGGAGTTTGCATGTTCTCCCTGTGTCTGCTTGGGTTTCCTCCAGTACTCTGGTTTCCTCCCACACTCCAAAGACATGCTGGTAGGTGAATTGGATCCTGTCTAAATTGTCCCTAGTATGTTTATGTATGAATGTGAGTTAGGGACCTCAGTTTGTTCACCCCTTGAGGGTTAGGGACTGATGTGAATGTACAATATATATGTAAAAGCACTGTGTAAATTGATGGTGCTATATAAGTACCTGAAATAATAACAAAAACTGGTGGTGTGTGTTAAGCTGACCATACACGGGTCAAATTCCAAAATAATTTTCTATCAAAAATGTTTTCTAAGAATTTTTGTTGGAATTTCGCACCATTAGTGGGCCACAGAAACCATTGAATCTTAGTGATCGGGCATGTTGGAAATATTTAGAAAAATGAACGAATTTTGAATCAATGATGGGAGAATCGTGCGAGAATTATCAATGAAAAAGAAATAAGCCTGAGCTGTGACCTGGAAAGAAAAGAAAATTCTTGGCCATGAAAATTCTTTTCTGTAGCTACATGAGGTGAAATTGAAGGTGTGGTTGGTTGAATTTCGAAATCAATGGTGGCACCATCGGATTACAAAAAGCACAAAATTTCCAATTTTCTAAAGAAAATTATTTCGGAATTCGACCCATGTATGGCCTGCATTAGTAGGGTAAACATTGTGTATGTTGACTTAGAAACGTGAATGTCGACAAAAATAACATCGCATGAAAAAGTAAGTAAATTACAATTGCACGCACACATATGTAAACATACCATATTATGAGGACTGACAGTTACTAGTACTGTATGTGTTAGTTATGAAAACGTTATGCCTCTTACTATTTTGATGGTTGTTTCTTCATAAACAACACAAGGCAACCAACAGAGCTCTAAAGCAGTGTTTCTCAACCTCTTTTCAGTCAAAGCAGCCTTTGAAAAGTCTAGAGGCGCCACATTCTAAAATGTAAAAAACTAAACTACCAGTAAGTTTTACACAATGTAGTGGCCTCTGTACATGTAGGACACCCAACATTAGAGGTGATTTTTACAAAGCAATTACAAGCATGGCCAAAAATATTGGCACCCCTGCATTTCTGTCAGGTAATGCACCACTTCACCCAGAAAAGTGTTGCAATTACAAATGTTTAGGCATTCTCATGTTTATTTCTTTTGTTTGTATTGTTATGACACAAAAGAGTGGAGAAACAAAAAGCCAAATCTGACACATTCCACGCAAAACTCCGAAATTTGACTTGCCAAAATTATTGTCACCATCAATTTAATATTTGGTAGCACACCCCGAAGGAAAAAAAATAACTGAAATCAATCGCTTCCTGTAAGCATCAATGAGTTTCTTACACCTCTCTACTGGAATTTTGGAACCACTCTTCTTTCACTAACTGCTCCAGGTCTCTCAGATTGGAAGGGTTCCTTTTCTCAACTGCTTTTTTGAGATCTCTCCACAGGTGCTCTCTGTGATTGAGATCTGGACTCATTGCTGTCCAGTCCAGTACTCTGCAGAGCTTTGCCTTAAACCATTTCTGGATGCTTTTTGACATGTGCTTTGTGTCATTGTCCTGCTGTATGACCCATGATCTCTGACAGAGACCCAACTTTCTGTCACTGGGCTCTACATTGCACCTCAGAATTCTTTGGTAGTCTTCAGATTTCATAATGTCATGCACATCCAGTGCCTGAAGCAGCAAAGCAACCCAAAAAAATCAGTGAACCTGTACCATGTTTAACTGTAGGGACTGTATTCTTTTTTTAAAGGCCTCATTTCTGTTTCTGAAAACATTAGAATGATGGGCTTTACCAAAAAGCTGTAATTTTGTTTTGTCTGTCCACAGCACATTCTCCCAAAAGGAGTTTGGCTTCCTAAGTTTTGGCAAACTCCAATCTGGCTTTTTTATGTTTCTGTGTCTGCAGTGGGGTCCTCCTGGGTCTCCTACCATAGTGTATAGTGCGACGTATAGTGCAAGCTGACACACTTGTACCCTGTGCCTGAAGGTCAGCTTGAATTTGTCTGGACGTTGATCAAGGTTCTTTATTCACCATTCGAACAATCCTTTGTTGCAATCATTGATAAATTTTTCTCTTTTGTCCACGTCCAGGAGGATTAGCTACAGTGCCATGGGCTATAAACTTCTTGACAATGTTGTGCACAGTAGACACAGGAACATGGACTTGTAACCTTGAGAATGACCATGCTTTTCCACAATTTTTGTTCTCAGATCCTCAGACAATTCTTTGCTGCTCTTCTTCTTTTCTGCATTCCAAGTGGCATACAAAGACACACAAGAGAAAGGTTGAGTCAATTTTTCACCATTTTAACTGGGTGCTGGTGTGACTTCAATATTGTCAGCAACTGTTAATTGATACAGGTGAGTTTAATTACAAATTAGAGAAGCATCACAAACTTGGAATGTGTCAGGGATCCAGGGCTTTGCGGCGATATGCCGGGCGGCGCATGCGCAGAACACCGATGCGCACTAGCCGGCGAACGGCAGGACCTGAGCGATCGTGGCAACAGCGACGGCCGTGCATGGGCACGCGCCTGGCACCAATGACAGCGCAGGACACGCTATTTAAATGGGCCAGGAGGTATGTACATTGCTGTTTGGTCTATTAATCTGTTCCTGTGTTCTGTTAGTGAAGCTTCCCTGTTGCTGACCTCTGCTTTGTCCTGACCCTGCTGACTGTCTCTTTCTTGATCCTTGGCTCGTCCTGACCACTCTCCTGCCTGCCCCTTATGATTGATCTCCCATTGCTGAACTTGGCTTGACATGACCATTCTCTGTCTGCTCCTTGGTACCTCGCTGCCCGCACGTTACCGACCTAGTCCACCTGACTACGCCATACCTTTACGGTGTCCGTCCATCCATCCATCCCACACGGATCAGTCCCTGCTGCCAGGCCTGCCAGCCTCTTCATATCAGGCCCTATTCCTCGCACACCTCTGACGGTACCCTCTATCATAGCCGGACGTACTCAGGGGTCGCGACCTGGTCTTAGTCTGCTCCAAGTCCATCCCCACCATCAGGGGCCCTGGTGAACAAGCAGATTGAGACTTAGACCCCGCGCCCTGAGGAACCCCACGCTGTGGGCAGCTAGAGATACTGCCAGGCGGTGGCTGACAGAATTCAATTATTTCTTACAATTTTTAGAAGATGCCAATCATTTTGTCCAGTCCATTTTTGGGGTTTTGCATGGAATGTGTCAGGTAAGGCATTTTGTTTATCCACTTTTTTGTGTAATACCAATACAAACAAAAGAAGTAAACATGAAAATGCCTAAACATTTGTAGTTCCAACAATTTTCTGGGCTAAGTGGGGCATTATCTGAGAGAAATGCAGGGGTGCCAATAATTTTGACTGTGACTGTACCTTAGACACTGGTACTGACTAATATTCTAATTTTTCTCTTCTCCTTTTGTCTCTCTCCCTCATTTACCTACCAGTATGCCTATGGAGAGGGGCAGGGGAGGGGCAGACAAGGACATCCTCAGGCTCTCAACATCCTCCTTATCAACTTATGATAGCATTGGTCGGTAGCTGGCCTGAACAGTGCTAAAGTTTGTAGTAATGTCCATGGCTTTGTGCAAAAAATAAAGAAAAAGAAAAAGAAAAAGAGAAAATTACTTCTACTCTTCGACTAGTTGGCAGTTTTTTGAGCAATTTTGAGGACATTTGTCAAGACATCCCTGAAAAACCTACAAGACACCACACCCTAATTGAAAAGAACTTCTCTAAAGTGTTCAAATAAAAGGTGTGTTGGTCAGTAGATTATGAAATAATTAAACCCCCCCCCCCATTTTTTTCCCTGTATCCTGTTGGAGATTTCCATTCACTCTTTGTCCTGAAGACAAAACAGGATGT